TATATTTTTCTTAAACTAAAGTCAAACAATTGTTAGCATTTGCAACCTACTTTAATATTGTGTACCAATTCTTGAATACTATAGTTAAAATTATATTTTTTTTGTACAGATGAATCAATGTCATATGCATTTGTAGACATAGAAGAACTGAAGTCAAAAGGAATATCACTTTCTACAGTTTCTTCAGCTAAAAGTTATAAAAAACTTAAAAATACTAATGAACGTGAGTATTTAATAAAGACATGGAATTTGATCTTTTAATGTTAATAATGCTACCTAAACATAAACAAGAAAAAATAATTAAGTCTTATTTGTAGCAAATAGTAATACAATTAAAAATTAATAATTTAAAATAATTTATTGTAACTTGATATWAAGAATGACATTTACTTCACTGTTTATCGTGAATTATATAAAAATAATAATTGGTTTTTGTTTAGAATTAAGAGAATCTAGTGATGACGATCAAACTGATTGGAAACTCAAAGCAAGTGACCATTGCGTTAAAACAAAAAAAGCTTATTTGATTCTCTTGATGAGTCCGTATCTAGCAATGATGAAGAATCTCACTCTACACATAATGTTAGTTCGAAACAAAGTAAGTAATAAAAGACAARTCTTGTGATACAAAAACTATATTCTTAATCTTTTTACAACCATAATTTCAGAAATAATTGAGGAAAATAGTGACATTATTTGGACTTCGACACTGACAAAAGCTTTGATATCTGAACGGATTGAATGCGACTCATTATTCCAACGGCCATCATGTAAAAAAATAAAACTTTGGAGGTCAATTGSAATAAAATTGAACGCTGCGTTTGAAAATAAAATTAACCTAACAGATAAACTTTGTGACAGAAAATGGAGAAACTTATGGCAAACTTATAAGGCAAATGTTAAGAAATCGAATAGTACAGGTACTRATTCWATTATTYGGGAATATTATAACAATTTCAACGAGCACTTTGGATCCAAAGACAATATAAACCCCCCGCTACTAATTTAAGAGGTTCATTTACATTGGCATCTACTTCAAGTAATTCTTTTACTTCAAAGCACAATTGTTCACCTGCCAAAGACAATATATTTAGTACATCATCAGTCATTCGGAAGTCTCCCTTAAAACCATCTCCAAAAAAAAAACCTATGTCAAAAAAAAGATCTTACGGTATGGATGCATATATCGATCTCAAGAAGGAAGAAATGGTTAAAATGGAAGAGTATCAAAAAAGGTTATTGAGTATATTAATTGAGATCATTTAAAGTAAATTAATCCTATGTTTTGTTTTATTAATTTATTAAAAATAAAAAAAGTACAAATGGAATTGATTTATATTCATAAATAATATTAACACTGGTAATATAGTAAAAGTAGAAARTAAAATTGAAACATTATACCTTATAATTTTTTAGCAATGGATTCTCTTAGATTTA